TGTACCTCCTTCCCATGCACCCCTCCTCCCTTTCATGCTGAGATCCAGATGAGTACCTTGCTATCTTTGGAATACATATGTCTTTAAGAAGGGCTCATTTCTTTTCTGTTTGAACATAAGGCGCTTGATTGCTGTACAGTAATAATAACTCATTGCAGAACCTGGCTATAGGTCATTGCATACTCTGTTATACCTTTCCCAAATGAACTCTTGGAAGTTACCACTGCCATTATTGCCATTAACTTACAAGTATCACAACAGCTCTTGCAATATCAAAACAAAGTTTCTGACATACATTAAAAAAAAACACAAACCCACCACAAAAAAAAAACAAACCCAATCAATCAATCAAACAAACAAACAAAAACACAAAAAAAAACCCTCACTCAGACCCAAAACCCCAAATGAGATGGTGGCTCCCCATGTCTGGTCACACATTGCCACCTACCGGCTCTTCCCCATGTACCCTCAATAGTACTAAGGTGGTTTGGATCAAGAGATCGGCTATGAAGCAAAGCTAAAGAGCAACAGGAGTGCGAGGGTTGGTATTTGACCCCAGCACATGTTACAGGTGTAGGCAGTGAATATTCTTATAGCCTTGCATTACTTACTCACACACAAACACATCCACCAGGCTGGATTTTATGGCTCTAAAGCAGCAGCCAACTCTTACCAACCTCTTCCTCTGTGTACATCCCCAAACAAGTGAAGGATGTTTTCAGTCCACCTCTGTGCCACCCCAGGAGAACAAGCCCTGGGACAAGGGAGGTACAATGGCAGCATAGCCCCTGCCACCCAGCACGCCCAGGACCACAAGACAGGCACCTGCCACTGCAGGACAAGAGCAAAACATTTGAAAGAATTTAGAACGGAGATTGAGATGAGATCTTAGGGAGAAGATGTGAGGGTGGTGAGGCTCTGGCACAGGTTGTCAGAGAAGCTGTGCCTGCCCCATCCCTGGCAGTGTTCAAGGCCAGGTTGGACTGGCCTTGGAGCAACCTGCTCTAGTGGAAGGTGTCCCTGCCAGTGATAGAGGGTAGAAACTGGACAAGCTTTATGACCCTTTCCAATCCAAAACAGTCTGGGATTCTATGATTTAATGCTGGGGAAAGTCAGCAAACAGAGGAACATCCCTTGGGAGCCATGCCCACGGGGCTGTGCAGACAAAGGGAATATGGAGAGGAACTGAGGGGGGCAACTTGCAGGCTGCACTTCACATCTTCCACTCGCATGACATCAAATCAAAACACTAGCGCACCACTTATGTTCCCTTGTTGCAAGAGGCCAGCCCTGCAGTAAAACAGCATCTCTACATATTTATCTTAAAAGCAAACCCTAATGCAATCAAATCCACTGCATGTATTTCTATTGCGAAGTTTAGCATCAGAGGTCTCCCTAGGTCATGGCATCTGCTTCACTGTTCACATGATGACACTGCTGATAAGCTGGACCTGTGAGTGGGAAAGCAAAAAAAAAGAAAAGCTACCATACCAGAAAACCACAGAAGTCATATTTACGCATTTACATGTGCAGTCAACCCTTCAGACCTGCATGCGTCCTGTCACCCAGCTGACAAATGTAAGCACTACTTCAGCAGTTGTGATAATATCTGGCCTTAGGAGGGAAGAATAGCAAGTGGTGAAACCTCAGCACCACTGAAATCAGGCAAGACCAACAGGATAAAAATACTTTCTTCATGTTAATTTAAAAGCAGAGAGAAATAGAAAGCTTCAGACTGGCCCAGGCTACTTCTGGTCTTCTATCTTGCCTCAAATGTCTACAGAACGGCTTTTATGCAATAGGAGAGACAGAACTATCAAGGACACGATTCCCAAGCATCTGAGAAATGTTGTCACAGGGTTCCCAACTTGTGACTAGACAGGCAGACCACTAGCAGCCAAGCCAACTGCACCACATGCCAGAGCACTCAAAAAAAGCCAACCCAGGGATGTTCTGGTAAAGTCTCTTATGGTGTGTTAAAGCACGGGGAGGAACCTCAGGAAGGAAGGTTTCACAATGGGTCATTCAGGAAGAATTAGCTGAAATACAGATATCCATAAACAGCTCTTCCACTCAATAACCCAGAATACATTTTCTATAACTCTTCTAACCTACCATGAACTTCCCAGAAAGAGAAATTAACATATTTGCCCTCACTGACCATCAGATATGCAAAACTAATCATGACCAAAAGCAGTATCAGAGTTCTTAGTATTTTTCCATTTCCCAGATTTGCCTATTTAGGTTCTGAAGTTATCCGGATCAGTTGTTAGGAAAACTTCATCGCCACAGTCAAGCCAAAACCACCTCAGTCGTTCAGCCTACACATTACAAATACTTCATTAGCCCAAATGGCATCAAGAATGTGCCACTGATAATTACACAGAAAAGCCATACCATGGAAAGATCCATTTAAAGTAACAAGCATGACTTTTCCTAGGCCTTCCTCTTCTCTAAGGATTGGCAACGTAACAAGTAAAGGTGTCTGAGAGCCAGCCAGCTGGAAGGCAACTTGAAAGGGGACCGTGGTTCTGCTCCACCTTTATTGTCATATTCCACAGTGTCTTTGCAGTCCAGGGAAATGCCCTGTGCCACAAACCTCTGGTGCGTGGTTCTGCTCCACCTTTATTGTCATATTCCACAGTGTCTTTGCAATCCAGGGAAATGCCCTGTGCCACAGGCATGGGAAGGATCCAACTTCCATCACCTACATTATCCAGTGGATAATTCCAGGGACATGAGCATAGACTCATGCTGTGGAAAGATTCATACGTGGGGAAAATCACAACCCAAGAAAAGGGCAACACAAAATAGGATGGCAGCAAGAGTAACATGGTTAAAGCTTCCCTGGCCCAAATCACAGCAACATTCTTAAAACGCAGGGCAGCTCAGCCCAGCAAAGCTTTACACATCCGTTTGCAGTTTCACTTTTGACCAGAGAGATTTCAATTTAAAAAGTAACTGTAATACAGCCATGAACTCTAGTAAACTCTGGTGGCCTGGGAAGCTGGCTGTTTCCAGACCCAAAATGCTGACAGGAATGAGTCATCAACAGACGTAATAAATAGCAGGGTTGCACAACTCTGGCTTTTCCAGCAGGCTTCTGTGTGAGCGCACAGGCCCAGCCCTGCCTGCTGCAAGAAAGTCATTCTGTAAGAAAGAAACTTGGAAGAATCTGTGTCCTTCTCTGTTTTTCCATGTGACTTCTTGCAAAGCACAGTTTTAGCCCCCGTTGTTTTAGATGTAAGGGAAGATGAGCATAGGCAGCAGACCCATTAGTGTGTGTGCAGATAAATGCTATTCTACAAGAACTACGACCCCACGAGTAATTCACCTGTTTACTAAATAAAAAAGAACCCACAAATGAAGAATAGTTTATCTGAACTAACGCAGTATCTTACTGCCCGTATCAAAGCAATCAAACCTCTGGTCCTTATCAAGGCAGAACACCTCGCTGGTCATAGCACTGCACAAGCACAAAGGAGGGAGGACTCCGAATATGCCAAATATCTCAGATTCAGACCGGGATGAAACAGGGTTTTTCTGGCATTCTGTTCTTGTTCTGTGCTCGGAAGTAATCCTGCTTAACAAGAAAAAGAAGCAGCTGGATGAGTGCCGCAGAAAATACATGGACTCAGTCAGAGATCAATATGATCAGACAAAAGCCATTTATTACAAAGCCTTAACCCCTTAAATACTATTTCTTACATGCACTTACAGTGATTTGGCATATTATGATTGGATACATGTCCTGAAGACCCTTTGCAACTAGCATATAATTGGTTAAGCACAGGTGTGGGAACTTGACCTCGAAAGCTTGCCAACACTCCACAGTTCTCATTAACTCGGTGAAATCTAGCATTCTTCTTATCTTGCTTGTTTAGGCTTCCTCGGGCCTCTCATGGCCTTGCTGTATCTTTCAGGATTTTCAGAGTTTATGTACCAATTATCCATTCTCCTGTGAGAACACTGTCTCCACAGATGAGAGAATTACTCTGGTTTTCTTACCAGACTGGTGCTCACAGGAAGCAAGATGGAAGGACTACCTAGTAAAATGGGAAATTTTCAGCTCAGCTTAGATCACCAGCCACGGAACACCTATGTTTTTCTTTCCCCAAAGCAGCACAATGAAGATGAACCACTTGGAGCAAATAACCAAGTATTTTAAAATACATCTAAGAACACCACCAGTCAACTGCTACACTTACAATGTGCTGCTTATGTTTTAGTATTCAAAACACCACAGAGTTTTACTTTTCAAAGTGTTCATTTGGGGGTGAAACTAAGTATTTTTGGTCTGGAACCTGAGCCCACGAACTCCACATCTTATCTTTAACATCGCTGTCACCACTGGTTCCTCATGAGTGCAACGTTTCTAGACACCCGTGTTAAACCCCAGGCAGAGCTGAGAGGATTTTTTGTTTTAAATTATTATTATTTTTCCGGTTTACTCACCATAATCACAGACGAGCCCCGAATACTTCTTGAAAACCACCCCCAACCCTCTCCCGGGCCTCTGGACACCTCTCGCCTCTCCCACCTTCCCTCGCAGCCGACCCCCGTCCCGCCGGCGAGAGGGCGCTGCCGGGAGGGCGCTGCTGAACACCGCTTCCCGCCTTCCCCACCTTCGAGTTCTGAGGTACCGGGCTGTGAGGGAGCAGCTGCGGGCCCGAGGGGACCCTCCGATACCCACCTGAGAATCATTTCTCGCCCGACCCTCAGCTTTAAAAGAGCTTTTTAAACAGGGAAGCTCGGAGTGCTCCCACAGGAAGGTGAGGAGGAAGCCAGGCCGCGCTGAGGTACGGGGGAAGGGGGCGTGCCGGGGGGGGAGGGGCTGGATCTTCGTGTGAGGGCACAGGGGAGGCCGGGAATTCCTCAGGAAGTGCCGACACAGGCAGTGGCGTTGGTGCGGTGCGCTGTTTGGAGTTGAGGCAGCCAGCAGCATCCTGGCCTGTAGCAGCACCAGGGGCCAGCAGGGCCAAGGCAGTGATCATCCCCCTGCAATGGGCACTCCTGAGAGGATAACGATGCACTGTGGAGGAGATTATGTTGATAGACAGGAAAATGGGTGGGTATGATTTGCTTGACTCAAGGTACAGACAACAGCAGTGTAGCAGGCTACCTTATAGCTGCAGAAGTCTGGATTTGACTATAGAAAACTTGCCTTCTCCAAGTGCAGTTCTCAAATCTTTCTCTTGTTCAATACAATCTAGGTAAATAGACTCTCCTACAAGTATATACATGACAGTATGCTCAGTCCAACCTCAAACCTTTAATGCAGAACTCTGCAGCTGAGTTTGGGATGCCTGAGGTGGCACACAAGTAGATTTAGATTAGATATTCAGATAAAATTCTTCATTACAAGGGTGGTGAGGTACTGGAACAGGTTGTCCAGAGATGTTGTGGCTGCCCCACCCCTAGAAGTGTTTAAGGCCAGGTTGGATGGCGCTTGGAGCAGCCTGGTCTAGTGGAAGATGTCCCTGCCCATGGCAGGGGATTGGAACTGGATGAGCTTTAAGATCCTTTCTTATTCAAACCATTTTGTGATTCTATCTGTGTGCTGCTTAAGCAATCAGTGGCCATTCTTCCCCTTCCCTGATTAGTAAAGGAACCATTTGTAAAATCCATAAACGTGAATAAATCCAACATTTTGTTACGATCTGATACACATTGCAGTTTTCTTAAAATATCTTTCTTTCTAGTCCTGTGTTTTGCCGTGTCCTGATGCATTTCAGAAACCAATTAAGGAAGCCACTAATGGAAGCAAAGCATGCTTTTAAGTTGATATCAAAGGCCCCAGACAAAACTGTCTCCATAGGTCAGTCCACAAACTAAGTTAAATGACTTGGTTTTGTCCTTTAACCAATGCTGATCTCGTGTAACATCTCACATCCTCACACTGGTACAAAACAGTGAAGGGCAGAACTAAGCACAGAAAAAGATAGGCCATCCTCCTGCTCACAGAGCTGCTTCCAGCTCCCTGGAGTTCAGGCATACTAGTAGGAGAAGGGATGGACACAGGTGCCACCGCAGCTTGTCTGGCAGGTGCCAAAAGAATAACTTGCTGTAAGAGCACTTCTATGCTTCTGTCAAAAGCACAGGTGGTATTTCCTAGTTTGTTTTGAAGTAAGCTCCCAGAGCTACTTGACATTTTCTGTTTCTCTAATCATTTAAGCTAGGTAGAAGCACTGTTGTAGCCTACTTCAGTCATCAAGATGAGGTTGCTGCACTCCTGCGTCAGAACTGTTGCTGTTACTCTGTTAAAGGTATAAGAAGGATTTTGAGGTTTCACACAGAAAGTGATGCACTGATATGTCACCATTCACTGTGCTTTGAGTTCATGGACAGTGGTATAATTTAGCCTTGAAAAAACCCACAAGTCAGAAGACTTAACTGCAGTGATGACTCAGCTACCCACAAATGAAAGATTAAAGTGGGAGCTGCTGTTCAGCGTCATTCACTCAATAGAGCTAGTGGGAAAGCTCAGGATCTGTGTGACACACGTCAGAAACATGCAAACTAGAAGGAGAAACGCAACAAACATTTCCACTGTATTATTTCAGTTAAATGGCTGTTGACATGCTGCTTTGGTGGATAACTGAGAACTCCTTCCCTCGTTCCTACTTTAAGTACGTAGCTTTTTCTTTAGATCAAGTTTCAGTGCAGGAAAATACTTGCTTATATAGGAAACACTGTGATCTGTCCTCTCAGATTTTATTAGGATACACTGCAAATACTCAGACTTTAGAATTTAGTTCATAAGCACCTCTGTGCTGCATGGGAGAAGCTTACACAAGGAAAAAACCAAAAACTCAAAAAACACCACCGCCAAATCCCAAAAGTTACTTTTTATTTTCACTGCCTAGCTAAGTACTTCTGTAGCAAATAGCTGGGATGTAACAATAGGCAGCAGGAAAATAGCTGGAGTTGGTGACAATTCCTCCTTTATGTCTTGACGATTCCATCTTTTGCTTTCAGTTTACATATTATCACATTAGTCACTTCTAAACACTGTATTTTGTTTCATACAAGAGGCAAATTATGACTAAAGAGCCAAAATGATGCTTTATATGTATTTGAAATATTACTGCCTACAGCCAGACTCTGTAGAAGTCACTTGTCTGATACCTTCTAGTCAAAGGACTACAGCATAAAACAGAGTGTGCAGGCCCAGACAATACTACTTAGTACTCCATTTTAAGTCCATAATGTAAACACTACTGTCACTGCCAAGTGACATATTTCTTCCAAAGATAAACCTACCTGTGCAAGCCTTATGACATAAGTCATCACCAGTTGACAGTAGTGGGTGTTTTACGGAGTGTGTTTCTGAAGTGCTACGCAGCCATTGCAGGAGGTTCACAATCAAATGATGTGAGGAGTTCAGCACAGAGTTGGGGTCACCAAACGAGTCCCTGGCAAAGTGGTGAAAAGTGAGGGTTATCATGGAGTTGGTAGGCTCAATTCTCACTTCTTCATTCCAGTGGTTTCATTACATTCAGAGTCAGCAGTAAATTACATATAGTCACTATACAGTAGTATTTTAATGCCACTGTGAAGCCAGTTCTTTTGGTACTACAGTGATTTCATGCTGTGATTTTACTTTGTTTTGAGGACTCGTTTCATCATGACCTCTTTTGAAGAAGTTGAAACTGAAGAAACAGTAACATGTCTCCACATGACCTTTTACCATCCTTGTCAAGAAGACAAAATGATGTTTCGTTGCTTGAATTTCTGTAAGTGAGAACAGGTCAGGGCAGGTGAAATGACCAAGTTTGGCCGGGATTCTAATGTAGAATCATAGAACAGTTAGGGTTGGAAAGGACCTCAAGATCATGTAGTTCCAACCCCTCTGCTGTGGGCAGGGACACCTTACGCTAAATCATATCACCCAAGGCCTCATCCAACCTGGTCTTGAACACTGCCAGGGATGGAGCATTCACAACCTCCCTGGGCAACCCATTCCAGTGCCTCACCACCCTAACAGGAAGGAATTTCCTTCTTATATCCAATCTAAACTTCCCCTGTTTAAGTTTTAACCTGTTACCCCTTGTCCTATCACTACAGTCTCTAATGAAGAGTCCCTCTCCAGCATCCCTATAGGCCACCTTCAGATACTGGAAGGCTGCTATGATGTCTCCACACAGCCTTCTCTTCTCCAGGCTGAACAGCCCCAACTTCCTCAGCCTGTCTTCATATGGGAGGTGCTCCAGTCCCCTGATCATCCCTGTGGCCCTTCTCTGGACTTGTTCCAATAGTTCCATGTCCTTTTTATGTTGAGGACACCAGAACTGCACACAATGCTCCAGGTGAGGTCTCATGAGAGCAGAGTAGAGGGGCAGGATCACTTCCTTCAACCTGCTGGTCACACTCCTCTTGATGCAGCTCAGGATACGGTTGCCTTTCTGAGCTGCAAGTGCACACTGCCGGCCCATGTTCATTTTCTCATCAACCAACACCCCCAAGTCCTTCTCCGCAGGGCTGCTCTGAATCTCTTCTTTGCCCAACCTGTAGCTGTGCCGGGGATTGCTCTGACCCAGGTGTAGGACCTTGCACTTGGCATGGTTAAACTTCATGAGGTTGGCATCGGCCCACCTCACAAGCGTGTCGAGGTCCCTCTGGATGGCATTCCTTCCCTCCAGGGCATCAACCGAACCACACAGCTTGGTGTCGTCAGCAAACTTGCTGAGCACACACTCAATCCCACTGTCCATGTCAGCGATGAAGATGTTAAACAAGACCGGTCCCAACACTGATCCCTGAGGGACGCCACTCATTACTGGTCTCCAGCTGGACATTGAGCCATTGACCACAACTCTTTGTGTGCGGCCATCTAGCCAGTTCTATATCCACCGATAATGTCTATAATGTCTGCCATTACAACTTCATGGATGCTCGAGTTTCTCGAATTCAGTTCTCCTTGCAGTTGTACAGGAAACTGAAGAGCGCAGAACTTTGTTTTGAGATAAAGAACATGAGCAAGAAAACTAACCTGATCATGGACCAAACAGAACTGGGTTACTTAAACAAAATTGACCTGCCATGGAAGTGCATCATTTGTTTTGGGGACTACCAGATTTTAGCAGAGCCTCAAGAAGGGGAGTCCATGGATTATTTTGAGACTCACTTACACTTGGCTCAGGCGCCCATCTAACAAGAAAGATGCCTGCCATCACTGCAACCTGTACTAGAAAATGGCATTTCTTCTTCTATGTTTCCTTCACACAGCAAAAGCACCATAGAGATTGATGAAAATTAGTCATGCTAGTGGGGAGATAGAGGCTGGATCAGACTGTCATCCTTTGAAGCCTGCACAGCTTCTAAAACTGAAGGCTGTCATCTCAGTCCACTGTTCAGGACAGTTCTCACCACTACGTATCAGTCTTCTTATGTGTTGCTTTCAGCATAGGCATACTAGAACGTACCAGGTTCCTGCTGCTGTCTTCCCCAAAATGTATCTGTTGTCCGATCACCACTGTCTGCCGCAAATGTAGGGGAGACATAGAAGGCCACTCAAATCCATGACAGCAGGTTCAGTTGGAGAGCTGTGATGGCATGCCTTGAAGGTATAGTTAGCAGGCATTAACACAAAGCACGCAGAACAGTGTTTCAGTGGTTAGCTAAGTAGGGTCACAGTATCTCACTGCATTTGTTATACTTCGTGCTTTTGCTTTTGACAGAAAATTCCAAACTGTATTTTCAAGCCTAGCATGTAACTCCTCAGATTCTGCAACTTAGAAACACTTTGTCAGCATAGTCCTTTTAAGTTAATATTTTTACGGTCTTTGCAGCAAGATTTTTGTTCTCTTTTTAAAATGATTTTTTGTTTTGTTTTGCAAATTAACTACTTTTGCTTGTGAATGTCAATAAAAATGCAATGTGAGTGGTATGTAAAAATCCAGTTAAATTTTGCAATACAACCATTTGGTTGTCTAGTAAGGATTTGCTGTCTTCTAAAACTCCAACCTAAAAGCACTTATTGTGAACAAACTCATTTCCAGAACAATCCAATGAGACATTTTGACTGCACTATTCTAGGCTTTCTACAAACGGCATTGCTCTTAAGGTTTAAATTGCTGGATAAAATACATTTCAACACGTTTTCTACCTCTCTGCCTCCCACCCCAAGCTCTCTTAACAATTTTTATTTCAGTATTTCTCAGTTTGTTTCAATTCAGTTTTCCTTTGCTAGGTGCTCAGCTTTCCATGGGCAGAAAACATCAGGACAAAGCATACATACTCATGTGATCATCCCTAAACGTTGGGCTGCATTTCAACATTAATCACGACAAGCAAACCAGAATTTTAACTGAGGCAGAACAGCCAAACTGCACAATATAACCTGAGATTAAGGCAAAGAACTAAAGCGAGAGAAAGTGAGGAGAGGCAATGAAATTCAAACACAGGCTTATGTAGGATTTCATTTGTCTATTCATCTTATCCTTGCCAAAAATACCTTGTTCCTGCATTTTCTACTCTTTCAACTAGGCTCTAGTGCTTACTCTTTACAGTCTTTGGCCTAGATTCAGCCTTTATCTATGCACGAAGGCCTGTCACACACCCAGCTCCTCAGCTTAACACATCAAACCTTTGCAAGTATCACAGTCTCATCAGGCATGGTGCTACTGGTTGCAGATTTCCAGTAGCTATTATGCTTTTGACCTGACTCATCCTCCTCTTTAATTACAGAGGATGGCCAATACCTGCAAATGCAAGCTGCCTAGAGAAAGAGAGCAAGATACAAATACAATCTGAACCAAGCACTTTGATTTAAAAGCTTTCACATTAGCCTTGTATAAAATGCATAGAGTTTCTTATGTTCACTGATTGTGCTCATGTGTGAGGGAGGAAGGAGCATTAATTTTGCATTCCCCCTAAACAGCTCTCTTCCTATTAGTGCTCTTAAATTATTGTGGACTACATTCAAGTTGCTGTTTCATGCTGCTTTGGGCTTTAAAACCAGATTGCTAATACAATCCCTGTCCAGGATCGTCATTCAATTCCTGTTCACTGGCCCTGTTGTGTAGGCTATTGTTGCGGTTTAAGTGCAGTCAGTAACTCAGACTCACGCAGCCTGCTTGCTCACTCCCCCCACCTTCCTCCCCAGCCCTGCTTCCGGAGGGATGGGGAGGAGAATTGAAAGAATGTAACTCCCACAGGTTGAGATAAGAACAGTCCAGTAACTAAGGCATAACACAAACCACTACTGATACCACCAATAATAATAATGATAAAGGAAATAACAAGGGAAGAAAATACAATGCCACCTGCCAACAGATACCCAGCCTGACCAAACAGTGAACTAGCTCTTCCGGGTACCTCCCAGTTTTCATCCTGGGCATGACATGCTGTGGTATGGAATACCTCTTTGGCTAGTTTGGGTCAGGTGTCCTGTCTGCTTCTCCTGGCTTCCCCTCCTCCCTGGCAGAGCATGAGACTCAGAAAGTCCTTGGTCAGACTAAACATTTGAGCAGTAACTAAAACCATCTGTGTTATCAGCACTGTTCTCAGGCTGAAAGTCAAAAACACAGCACTGCATCAGCTACTAAGGAGAAAAAATGACTGCTACTGCTGAACCCAGGACAGCCATTAAACTGTGGCACTGGTCATACAAAATGCTTATGCTTTTCTGAGCTATTATCTGAAGAAAAAGTGACACCTCAATCTCAAATTTTCAACTTCCATGTATCAAAAGAAACATCTACACACAGTACCTACTTAAGAAAGATCTTCCATCTGGTCTAAAGTTCAGTGTTACGTCTCAGCATTAGCTCTGCACAGAGAAGTTCGTGGATAACTAGAGATCTAGAGTGAAACGTTTCTTGGGCACATCCCCAGGAACAAAACTTGGAATGGAAAAAAAACCCAAAACACCACATCAGTAATTTAATGGTTTCAAAGCACTAGTCTTTTCTACAACTATATTTACCTAGGGTAAAAATCAACCCCAAAATGCACATTGAAAAAAAATTAACCCTCTCCTAGGAGGATCCTATCACTATGCTGATTTGACCAGAATGTTGGTTTGACTGGAGAAGAAGAGTTGTTTCAGCATAAAGAATGCCAGAACATACTTTGTTCACCAGAAGACTTCTGCTTCCCCCCCCCACCCCCCCACCCCAAGGCTGCCATTAGTCCTACCCTGCTAACTTAACTGTGAGAAATACTACACACACAAATGCAGCTAGCATTTTTGGTAGTTTTTTGCTTGGTTCAGTTTAGTATTCACTATCACAGAACACTAAAAGAAATGCTGAAACACCAATTTTATGTTTAATCTAATAACTCTGAACAGATTGCTCAGTCACATCAAATGATTTTATATTCAACAATGGCTCAGATTTAGCACAGAAAAATATATATAACATCACAGAATGGTTTGTGTTGGAAAGGACCTTAAGATCATCTAATTCCAACCCCCTGCCATGGGCAGGGACACGTCACATTAGACCATGTCGCCCAAGCCCCTTCCAATCTGGCCTTGAACACTACTGGGGATGGAGCATTCACAACTTCTTCGGGCAACTTGTTCCAGTGCCTCACTACCCTCACAGTAAAGAACTTCTTCCTTATATCTAACCTGAACTGCTCCTGTTTCAGTTTGAACCTATCATCACCACTTCTCCTATCACTGCAGTCCCTGATGAAGAGCCCCTCTCCAGCATCCTTATAGGCCCCTTTCAGATAATGGAAGGCTACTATGAGGTCTCCACACAGCTTCTCTTCTCAAGGCTGAACAGCACCAAATTGCTCAGCCTATCTTCATATGAGAGGTGCTCCAGCCCCTGATCATCCTTGTGGCCCTCTGGACTTGCTCCTTATGAACATGTCCTTATGTTGAGGACACCACAACTGCACACTGTGCTCTAAGTGGGGTCTCACAAGAGCAGAGGGACAGGATCACCTCCTTTGACTTGCTGGTCATGCTCCTTTTGATGCAGCCCAGCACATGGGTGGTTTCTGGGCTGCAAGTGCACACTGAAGCCAGCTCATGTTAAGTTTCTCATCAACCAACATCCCCAAGTCCTCCTCTGCAGGGCTGCTCTGAATCTCTTCTCCACCCAACCTGTAGCTGTGCCAGGGATTGCCCCAAACCAGGTGCAGGATTTTGCACTTCACATTGAACTCATGAGGTTGGCATTGGCCACATCTCAAATGTGTCAAGGTCCCTTTGGATACCATCCCTTCCCTCCAATGTTATCAACTGAACCACAGAATTTAGTGTCATCAGCAGAACTTGCTAAAGGCACTTGATCCCACTGTCCATGTCACCAGCAAAGACGTTGAACATGACTGGTCCCAACACCAACCCCTGAGGGACACCACTCGTTAACCCATATCCAGCTGGGCATTGGGATGTTGAATGCAATTCTCTGCAAGTGGGCATTCAGCCAATTCCTTATCCAGCCAGCGTCCATCCATCAAATTGATGTCTCCCCCATTTAAAGACAAGGAACAACTGGAACACTGAACAACTTAGTAAAACATTTCATTAGAATTGGAATTGAAAAAGAATAAGAGCTTCCTATTAAACACTGTTTCCTACATATGGGCACAATCAGCTAAGTCTTCTCCAATGGTGTTGGAGAGGCAGGAAGATAGGAAAGGTGCCTGCATTACACAAGGAAGAGCATCTTACCTTTGTGAATACAGCTTCTGATAGAAGAAGGGCTTCAAGTTCCTCAAGCCCTCTGTTACTGCAGCTTGTTACAGTTTCCCTTCCAAAGGAACAGGTCTCAAGAAGGGATTCTATAGAATTCAGTAAAGATACAGCTAATGATTTCTTAAAACCTTCCTTTGCTGATGCATAGGTAGCTGGAGGTAACATTTGAACAATTTGTCTCCACACATTGCTTTCACTATATATGACATGACAGCCACAGAACCAGCAACAGATAAAACATTGCCAAACATAAGACTGACTGAAAATTTTAATGACTTATATTTGTACAGATATGCCTTTTACAGTACCATTGAACTGTTTCTCCCGAGTTGTTTGTATCATCTTTCAAGTTCTTCAGTTTCCACAAATACTTACTAGAATATCAATCAGTGACTGATCAACCACACTCAGTGTGGTTGGTGCCCTGAACCCTGAAAAGCAGAATGCTGTTTGCCATGGCAGAACATACGCATCACAGTGAAAGCCTTCAGCTGCAATCAGCTTCCTTTTTCCTAAGCACTTGTTCTACACACAGGAGTACTGGCCAGTTTCTTCCCTCAAAGTGTCATCAGCACAAGATAAGCTCATGTTCTCTGGTCAGAAGT